CCACGGCTTTACACTGGTACGTGCACAAATGGGGTGTTGCCAACAAAGTATTTCCTTTGTTTTACACGAAGTTTGCTGTGTCGTGATATAAATTTGACCTTGGCGTCTGAAAGTGTACAACTTTCCCCGTGGCAAAAGAAATTCCCCATTCTACAATCCACAAGAGGCTGGACGTAAAACCTTCATTCAGTGTACCGTAACACGCACTAAACACACTCAAAACAGGTGTGAGGATAACTGACATATTCTGCCCATCGCTTTTGATTTCTTAAACCATATTTATTTCTTGCTTGTGGCATTTGACAACGTAGGTATTCAAAAACTCGTATTTCCCCAGAACTATCGTAGACTGGAACTCGTTGCCACCAGGCACAGTTGGGGCATCATCACTAGAAAGCTTTAAACAACTCCTGCAATCAAATGTGCAAAGATTAAGTGTAACAAGCCGTTCGGTGTGATATACCTAGCTGCCGCCGCGCCGCGTGCCTGCGAAGCTGGTGTGTTACGCCGAAGTGCGGTTATACCGGCTATACCGATACAGATACAGAACGTCTGTCCGGAAGTTTATGTTGCAAACATATAACTTAACTGTCCTTCAAATATTAAGGAAATACTGAAAATTTATGAGTTCACGTTTCCGTTTACACTACATAAAATAGTACATAAAACCCGGACCAAATAATCTTTTTCAATAGACACAACATATATAAAGTTTAAACTCAAACACAAGTTCTAGACTGGTTCATGATCGTAACCTGCTTGCAACCCTCAGGACAGAATTCAATAATTCAACACAGATGTAACTCGCCCCCCTCCCTCCTCCACAAATCTCCTACTATCTGACTTAATACTTCAGAGTTTCCTCCTGCCAGAAATCTTCATTAGTCCGTGAGAAGTGATGAAGGACGTGAGCGGATTGAGTAACGTCCTTGGGAAAAGGACGACCTTGAAGGAACGGAAGTGACGTCATTTCCGTGTTCTCTGGGGGATATTTCCCTTATTAGTAAGATGGAAGGATGAATTAGGGTGCTCAAAACTTCATTTCTGATTTCCCACTGAGACATACTTTAGACTAGGGATAATACGCTAAACATAATGCAGTAGCCATGTTTTGCATGTTCTTAATTACACAAAAGTAGAACGCTTTTTAGTGCTTTTGCAAAAGAGGTCTACCATGGGTTTTCCCTAATTTGATTTTATTTCTTGTCCTGAATACTGTCATATCCTCAAAGTTCACTTTTAAAGTTGTCCATCCCCAAATATTATTAATGGAACATCCCAGACACGAAGCTTAAGGTTCAGTAATGAGCAATCCCCTTCAGAAATACTTTGGCTCTCTCTCTCTCTAACGCAAGAACACAGATGGCAACTTTGTATAGATAGAAGTGATAACGTCACTTTTCAAATGGTGATGTTTTCAGCCACCCAGCGGACCAAGTCGGAACTACAGCTTGAAACCAAGTGGCTACGTGGTCGCGTGTTTCTCACGTATCAGTAGTTCCTGCACAGGAACAAAGTCCCAGTGTTTGTTTCCATATACCTAACCTCAGGCCTATGATGAGACAGGACGACAGTCTTGTTTAGGGACTGTACGATATTTACCGGGGGGGGAGGGCTGGTGCAAAATGGTCCGGTAAAATTTTTTTTCCATGGCCCTCCCCCCGGCTCAAAATTTTTTCAATGGCCCTCCCCCGGCTCAAAATTTTTTCAATGGCCCTCCCCCACCCCAAAAAATTTTTCGGTGGCCTCCCCCATTTTTCCAGTCCATGTCTCTTTCTCCCTCCGTAAATTCCCGAATGAAGTACGCATCCCGATTAAAGTACGCACCCCCGATTTGGGGCTGGTGGGAGACAAATATTCCCGTCTGAAACGTAAAATGGAAAAACTCGAGTTAACGCACCCCTTCTACGCACGGCCGGTACCACAGTGAACATGTACTAGTAGTATGTATGTCTTAAAGACAGTTCGTCGTTCCAAACAAATTTAAAATTGTTAAAAAATAGATTTATGCCGTGTACTACGTGATGGTATGGTAACGTAGCGGCAAACGTTTCAAGTTCGGCTTGTTTTTCACCGCCGGCCGCAGCCGACTTGCAAGACGTCACCACGGCATCGAAAGGTAAGGCAAGTGCGGCGAAACGCACAGATTTGGATCCAGCTTTGGAGTGTTGGTGATCAAGCAAGCAATAAAGATTTGTGAAAAAAAGACAATATTTCAATATTGATTTTATCGGTAACGGGGGGTAGTTGAATGTTAATGCACAAGTACGTAGCTTTAATGTTTTTAATACGAAATGCGCCGAACACTTCTTTATAGCGCCCGCCCGATCGACACATTCACCCATGGAGAGCAACAATCATACAGGCGGATAACTGGGCGGAGTATTTGGGTGTAGAGGTGCTACCGAATTTAAAATTTGACACCGAAACCAATTAACACAACAACAAAAGACTACTGGGATCAATAGGACTTGCGATTCCGAACAGGAGAAAGTGACAAGTTTGACTGCGTTTCAAGTAATCTCTCGTTATGTGATAGATGTTTTTGTCACAAAATCTAAGGAATAAACACGTATTAATTTGTACTCCGTAAAACTTATAAGTTCCTTCTCGGGGTCCATGTTCTGGAAAGCTGTCCTCTGCGCTGCGCATGCCACGGCCCTCTCTGTGTTCTTCAGCTGTAGGTGTACTTTGCCTGTCGCCCTACCCACCGGCCGGGCGGTAAGATTTCATCAAAGACTACATTTTAAGTTAACTCCGCCCCTATCATTGTAGCTTGCCGAACAGTCGAGTAGGAGTACATCTAGCTGGAATTTTCACGTCGTACTGGCTGGTGTAGCCCGCTACAAAGTAATTTCCTGTGGCATTTAATGATTTATCAAGATTTAAAAATATTTGTGATACGAAGTGAAACATGGTTAACAATTTCTGAACCTTTGAAACGACATGGGCATAATCTTTGTTGAAGATTCCTGAGTTGAACTCAAGCCGGAAGTGTATTGGAAATGATGACCATCACGGTCGAGGCACAACTGTTATCACATGTTACGTTACGACGATCAAGAACGTTCACGGCTTGCGGACCATTTCAAATATTACCACTCATAAACCCTACAATTATATGTGTACTTACGGGAGGTTATATTTTTGCCGGGGTTCCACCGAGATCGGCGTCGGCTAGCTGGGGAACGATCCTGTCGGCATGACAAAGCGCCGGGCGTCATTGCCAGAGACCTACATTTTCTTACCGTGGGTGACTTGACTTCTTCTTTTACCGCAACTTGGTGTCAATATAGACGATAGTCACAGGAAATATGTTCATTTATTGAAGTTTAACTTTATTTCCACTCGTCAATATTCTTATCTAAACATGCTATAGACGATCGATGTTCCAAGCTCCCCGTGCCGGTGTTCCGCTATATTCCTGGGTCGTCCACGGATTTGTCGGCGGAAAACTCAAATAAAGTACGCACCGCGACTTTGGCGACGGCCCGAGACACTTTTGAAAAATGTAAAAAGTGCGTACTATATTCGGGAATTTACGGCGTATTTCTTGTAATTCGGTACTACGTGACGCCATAGTTTACAAAAGTTTTTCGGTGGCCCTCCCCCTCAGGCCAATTTTTTTTTTTTCGATGGCCCTCCCCCCGGCTCAAAATTTTTTTCCATGGCCCTCCCCCCAGGCCAAAATTTTTTTCAATGGCCCTCCCCTCCAGTGCACCAGCCCTCCCCCCCCGGTAAATATCGTA